ATGTTAAAAAAATGATTACATTTTAAGGGAACTTCAGGCGTTTCCACTCTTAATCGCCACACTTTGACGCAGAAACAGGAAACTGTCTTTCCCCCCCCCCCTATTGTGTCCCTGGTAGCATTGATGAGCTTAGACTCACAGTGAGGATGCGCTTTATAGGAAGCTCTTAGAACACTCGCTCCAGAGGCAAAGGGATCTTCGATTCTACGGGGACAAATGTATTCTGAATGTGATGTTCTACACACACAGAGCATTATTACTTCCTATGGTTCTCAGTTTTACCTCATGGCCTTACACTGGAGCAGATATGGGGTATCAACCAGGGAGGATACATGCGAACCCCCACACCAGCGGTCAATACTCCTACTCATGGTTTGTGATCAGATTTGTTACACCTGACTGTCATAGTGTGCATGAGTTGAGGTTGGAGCTGTGGAGCACTGTGCTGTTATGAGGCTCCTTTTGAAATCCGTAGATCAACTATACAAGTCGTTTTAGCTAGTTTACGCCTTGTTGCAAATACGCGTATTCTCAATAGAGGAGAGCGCTACGCGTGTTGCAGATATGGGTACTGCTAAGACATATTATCTTGCGGGTCACTCGAGAATCGAGCTGAGAACAAGGTACAGAGATCAGGAGACTTAATCACACCATGCTTGGAATCTTCTTCTAATGGACTTGCCTGTACAAAGAAATGCTGTTCGGAAGTCATTATTAAAAATTGTGTAGATGACAGGGTTAAAGGCAGAGTTGACGTAGCTCAGCCATTGTAAGAAGTCGTAAATCCTCATGTCGATATCTTGGCAAGATGGGCAGAAAGGAAGGAGGACATACATGATTAAGAAGGGAAGCCAGCACCCGACGAAGCACCCCATAATAATGGTGAGAGTCCGCACCAGACGACGCTCCTGGGTCAGGGATATTCTCTGTCTGTCAGCAATGAATTTGCTGATGACGCTGCCGTCAGTCTGTGGGTTCACACCTTCATCCAAATTGCCAGTGGTTGCAGGTGGTTTTTGGTTAGCTTCTTCGACGTCAGTGATTGATGTTTCTATTTCAGATTGACGGGCTGTAGGAAAAGGAGTTACACTTCTGCTTACTCTGCCCTCAGGGCCCTGTCCTTCAGAATTGATAAGTGTAACAACTTTTATCTTTCCAATAGCATCTAGCTTTTTTAACTTGGTACCTTGGGCTCTCATTCGCAGTCTCCGCTTGGTAGCCTTGTAGATCTTGATGTATATTATGACTATTAGTACCAATGGGCAGAAGAATGATCCGACTGCAGAGTAAACGACGTAGTCTGCTTTCTGCGAAAGAAAGCATTGAGACTCCTCAGTGAAGTCGTCCGGCCAGTCATTCCAGCCAAGCAGAGGAGGGAAACTAATGACGAAGCTGATGGCCCACACTAGGATGATCATGATGAGCATGCGCTTAATGGTCCGCTTCGGGGCGTAGTTGACGGGGTCGGTGATGGCCCAGTAGCGGTCGAGGGCGATAGCACACAGGTTGAAAATGGACGCCGTGCAGCACATGGTGATGCTAGTAAGATACATCTCACACAGGTACTTCCCGACTACCCATTTGCCGATGATGATGTAGGCGACGTTGAAGGGCATCACGAACACGGCCATCATCAGATCGGCCACGGCCAGGGACACGATGAAGAAGTTCTGCACCTTCCTCAGCGGCCGGTAAGTGAACACTGACACAATGACCAGAACGTTGCTGAGGATGGTGAAGATGATGATGATAGTGAGAGAGAACCCCGTCACTACCATCTCCCATATGGGTAACATGATTGACAGATCTTTCTCGTCATCGACGTCTGCAGTGTGATTTTTTCCAGACATAATTACGTAGTGAGTTTTCAAATAATACTTGAGAATACTGTTTTCGAGACCTTACTCGTTAAGGTCACCCCTCAAGACGTCTCAGAAAGGTCAGTCTGAAAAAGGGATTAAAACAATTAAACACTTAGGTCAAAGCTTTTTTTATAAAGAAAATTAGTAATTTATATAAATCAAATAAGCTTCAGAATACTCATGAAAATACAGTATAATTAAGTAATTTTTAATTTAACATCATGAAAGCTTTATATAAATTTGCAATTTAACTTGCTAATTTATGATCGAGGAGAGGGTAGGTAAATCAATGAGTCTATCACATTGTTCTCTATATTTCTTATGTTCTTCACTTGGGAAGAAAGTAAAATAAAAATGTTAAAATAATGTAAATTTAAAAATGTTATAGAGTCTGACGCGGGTTGCTGAAAAAACGTTTCCCTGAAACAATATTCAACGTTTTCAGAGGCAGAAGGTGACAGTATTGATGCCGTGTTGGATGAAGAGAAGGTGAAGGGTTATGAGTAAGCTGAGGCCCATCAATATCGATGGAATTGGCAGAGGTGATAGCATTGACGTCGTTGAATTTCGAATATACCCACCAATATCGAACAAATTTTCTATCGTTATGCACTACTAAGGAAAAATTGGTTTATTTTGGCGAGGTTAGCTTAGGTTGCAAAGTTAATTTTATTTCATAATATACAAAATTAATTTCAATAAATCTAAAAAAAATGTTTATTGTGGGAATTTGGTTTATTCGGCAACACTGCAGGAAAAGCACACCATGTATACTTCCGACTAAGAAATGTAAATTAGTGTTACATAAGAGTTCACCTAACTGAGGATCACAACTAGAAGACGTAACAGCACTCCAATTTTCCGAACCGTTCTGATTAATATTACATATTTGGCTCGTTTGGGAATTTATATATCAAAATGTGATATAGTACTATTTGAGGGTACTGGTAGTTCTGAACATTTAGTTATCTCATTGAATGATGGTAATTCATTTCTCTCTCTCGAGTCATTATTAGCAGTTACGTTCATCTCCTCCTACAGGACCTTACAGCTGTAAATTCCATCTTCAATGCTTTGAAAAAAAAAATTAATAAATATCTTTGAAATGAGAGAGGGTGTCATAGGACAGAATCTTCAATGTGGCGACACCTTTTTAGCGGAATTTCACAGGAGTAAGTAGTAGGAACTCTCCTCTCACTGATGCATTCTAATGATCTCGTAGAGTGAAATAAACGCCATCATTTCAACGCGTGCTCCAGGCTTGTGAAACTGGGGATAAACACTAATTACCAGAATTCACAGAAATACTTGGACAAATTGCTTGTTCCAAGACTTTGTCTTAGTGGAATTTAGTCTTTTTTTATACCATACAAAAAATAAAGCAGCGTCAACAGCAATAGCAACTGGCGGCAATAGGAATAGAATCAAGATTAACATATCATAATATCAGTATAAACAGCAGTATTACTAGCAACAGCAACATCAGCAGCAATAGCAGCAGCAGCAGCAGCAGCAGTAACTGCAGCATTAATATGCACAACTGCAACAGCTGCGACACTAAGACTAGCAATAATAACAACCGTTGTTGAACGTGTGACTTGGACGATATAACAATAGGGTTATAGCTTGGTTAAGGTCCTACATTTAATCACTTGTCTTCTCATTAATATATTTTATTAATTTTTGAATAGAAACTGCTCTAATTTTGATTAATGTGCATGTATTCATTGTAGAATCTTGGACACCTGCCCGTTCCTATCCTGCAACTTTCCTTTCTATAACACGATATTCATGATTGTTAGTTTCAGAAATTACCTCATATGTAATCCACATCACTGCATATGTAACACGATGGACATATTCGGGTAGTAAATATATAAAGGTTTTATATATATATAAAATAATTGAAACCTTTTGTATTTGTCAACAACGTCTCTTCAAGTCTTTTAATATATTTGGATTCTATTCAAAAAGATTTTCCTTGGCTGCTCTCTGACCCATTTATGAATAGGTCTCTGAACTTCATTTCCAGAGTGGAAATGCTTTCTCATAAATTGCCTTTTGAATGTTTCAAATAGAGGAGAATAACTAGGAGCCAGGTTAGAAGAATAACGAATGTGATGTTACTGCAAAATTCCAAATGTTTTTGTATTGTTGAACGTCGCAGAATTTCATGACGAGGTTTGAACTGTTCATAAGTTGTTCAGAAAGCAATCAAAAAGGTTCTTCTTACATGTAATCAAGGAATTAATTTCCCGAAGGAGGAATAGCGATTCCATCGGGAAATTGAAGGCACCAGATTGTTGACAAGAAGGTTTAATAACCTAGGTAATAAATTTCCCTTTTTTTAACTTTAGCAATTTTTGCAATCTCGTACTATTGCACCACTTAAATATCAATACATTTTTCATTGTAATTATTGTTTGCATGATATTCGATATTGATAATTGTGGGCAATTATTTTTAGAACACTGTAAAAGTGAGTGATTTTAATGTTAAAATATATAAAAGAACGGGACAAACTATGAATATGTTGTGCATAGAATAATTTAACTTAAGGGATTTAATTTCCCTAATATGAATTTGAAAATAAATATCATCCTAAAACTACAGAAATATTTTCTAATGAACCTAGTGTCTTACAGATCAAC